TACAACAAATTATCCAATAAAGAATCTTGATTTGGTGTAACATCACAAACGTCCGTTTAAGTTTAAACGCAAAAATTTTGTTGGCGGATCCCAGCATGTCCTAATCATGTGACATACAAGATCCAAAATGATTGGCTAAAGTCATTAATTCTATCGGTATATTTATTATACAGTATATATATATATCAAATATACTGGTATGTAATTTTTATTATAAATTTTATTACATGATGCTGAAACGTGGGGGTCTCAATTTAGAAATATAAATCCTACTAAAATTCATCTATACTTTTTTATTATAAATACTAGTTTTAAACCCTAACTTAACTACAAAAAAGAAGCTAAAAAAAACATCCAAAAATTTTAAAATTTCATTAAAATAAGTCAATGTTTCAGCATCATCCCCGACAATAAATATTAGTTTACACGTAGTGTTTATACGGGTATAATTTACAGTATTGAATTACAAATTCGTGTAACATGCCATCAATACAATTTTTTACAAATGAAAAAATTAAACCCGTTTATGGTTGGTTTGGGATTGGCGAGGTATAGCCAATGCTAAAATTTCACAAGGAATTTTTTTTGAAAGGTGGTTTCATAATCAAAATTTTGAGATATCTATATTGCCCTTGTACATACACCCCGTGTACAAATAGAAAAATTCGATTATTTTAAAAAAAAATATATTTATCAAACATAAACCTATTAAAAATGAATCAGATCTTGTGAAATTAATAAATGAAAATCCTTGTTTTCTGTAACTATACTATATAATCGTATACTATATAATTAAGTTGGTGGCTAAAGATATTAATTGCACGAACCCTACTGGTGAGACTCTTTTTGTTTGTTTGTTTGTTCAAAAAAACATTGTCTTGTACCAATTTTTTTCTTTTTCATGCACTTTTGTCAAAGATTTGGTGCGAATATAACAAGTGTAAACTCAATAATTTTTGTCGCGACTGATGTAGTGATACAAATCGGTGAATATTTTTCAATCGATTAGTTGATAGATTATTTTATCGATTAATAATCGATTAATCGACTAATCGATTAATCGATTAATCGATTAGTTGACTAATCGATTAGTTGAATAAATAATAAACGAAACTTGGTAAAATACAAGTAAGGTAGCAACTGAAACAGCTGAAACAGCCGGTTGATATTCTTATATATGATCGGTTGATTTAATCGACTAGTCAATTAATTGACCAATCGACTAATCGATTAGTTGACCAATCGATTAATCGATTAGTCGACTAATCGATTAATCGACTGGGTCTGTAAAATTCAATTTTCGATTTGTATCACTAGACTGATGTTGAAAATTGATTTTATTATATATATAATATGAAATGTTAGGTGCATTTTTTAGGTTAGATTAGGATTCATATTAAAGTTATTAATAAAAAGTGCAAGGTTTAGTAAATCCAAGAGTGCGTTCAAATAAGCTATCAAAAGATCGAACCTATTTTTATTGGTTAGATCATGTGTAACCCTAAAAAATCGGGCAAAAATTCGGAGAATTTTGAAATTTTATTTTCATTCATTACTCCGTGAATAACTCTTAAAAATGAACATCACCTGCCCGATTATAGATTTTCACTAAACCTATAGCTATTAATATTTTTATGTTGAAATCTTTACTCTTACGTAAAAACCTATTAGCTGTACTATTTTACTCTTACCTTATTTAGATACAATATTACCCTTATACCGTCAGCGAAGCGACGGGTCATGTACTAGTCAAATATTTAAGTGCCTCTGATCAAGGCTGGTAATAAAAGTATTGCTCAAACGCAATAATATATCATACGTAATACAATAAGCATGGCTTATTCAAAAAGTATATATATTATAACAGTAATTAACCAAAACTTTTTATTATAGAAATTTATACATAAGAAAAAAAAAATTAGATAGAAAACCTTTTTAAATTTCTAAATTAGAGAAAGTCAAGATTGAAATAAAAAAAAACTTGACGTAATATCCAAACAAACTTTTTTTAAACAAAAAAAAAAGGAATACTGATAATTATAAAGTTAGTGAAAAAATGTTTTTACTATCATTCAAAATAAAATAAAATACGTAAAATAAAATAGTCTGGCTTTTTTCACACTATTGTAATATGTAATAATACGACAATTAACAGTAATAAAGTAAAATGCACATGAAACTATTGTACATTGAACTTGAAAAAATAATGTATTTTTAAAAGTTTTAGAGTTTGCCCTGCAAAATCAATTCTATACTATTGTTAATAAACTCTTTTCGATATGACATGTCCATACCAAAAACTATTGAGAGTTGTTCTCGAACTATTTATAAGAAACATAATTATAATTAGAATCGATATATTTCACCAAGAGTAAATCAATTAAAAAGACCTAAAACATACCTTGTTTCTTTGTAATATTCATTAAATTGGCAGTTTGTAAAATATTTCGAATTTCCACTAAAATTTCTTCATCTGTCGGCCCATCATTGGCATATGAACCTGCGTGTGAGCCTATAGGTCCTTGTGGTGGATAAATTTCCATTTCTGAATTACTTCTTGGTACTGATATAATCGAGTTTCTATAATCATGATCTCCTATTGCGCTGAAAGACCTTGAGTTTCGACTATCGGATGGTGCATTTCTTGGCACAGGTGATCTTGATCTACCACGTCGATCTGCAGGCGCCGTTAAATGAGTGTCACGATAATAGTCTCCATCATGATTGCTACCGCCGTATTGACTACCAGTTTCATAATTTCTATGACTACCATGGCTTCTATATGAAGTTGCACTATGCCTTGAATCATGCGATTCGGTAGTTCCCACTTCCCACATCTCTTGTTCATAATCTGCCCATTTCTTCTTCGGTACCATACTTTCATCGAATTTTTCTTCATTGGTCGTTATGATTTGTTTTTTGCCTTTTTCACCAACCACCATACGAGTATTACCCCAACTGAAATCATCAAAATGCCAAAATGCATAAATCGGAATAAAGAATGAAAACAGAGGGAATGCTAGTAAGTAGATTATCATCCAACCAATATGTTGCCATTGCCGTTTAAGAATGAAAATAATCGCTTGTAAACCATAAACTGCTGCCAACATAATCAGAGCAATCTTTGGTAAATCTTGGCGTTTGGTAACAACAGCATAGATAAGATAACCAATATATATTGTGGTGGATGGAAGAATAAGTGTACCGAAAAGATCAATAAAGACCACAAATCTCATTGAAAAACAGCAAAAACCACACATTTCCGGTAAGAACATAAGTTCCATAAGATTATGAATAGTGGAATTAATCCAACGACGTCGTTGTGAAAGTAAAACAGACCATCTATCAGGTGCAGCAGTTTTACACATAGCATCTGGTGTAAATGTCATCTTATATTGAGGGAAATGTTTCATCATTAATGTGGTAAGATAACGATCTTCACCAAGTGACAACAAATTCTTCTTATGTAAAGTATCCACATGATTCTCTGAATATTCATCGATTACAGTACTAGATATGATCAATGGAGTATTCTTTACAGGAGTGCGAATGCGATACATGCAGAAACAACCAGGTAAACAAGTAACAGATCCAAAAAGCGATTCAAATGCTTTAGCAAGATGGTGAGAAATATAATATTCGTAAACTTGAATCATAGTTGTCCATGAGCCTTCTTCGTTAACCAAGGTTGTTTCACCACAAATACCGATTATACGACCATCGTGAAGCATACAAGAAATCATACGATTTAACGAATCTGGCATAACCTCAGTATCAGCATCAACCATAAGAACATATTCATAAAAGCTTGGATTTACTCCTATTACATTTTTCATCTGATGATAAATCTCCAATTCAAGCGGTGACATTTCAAGTTCAAAATGAACTCTATTCAAAAATCTCATAAGTATGATTTGGGAGTCACGTTTTCCACGATTGCCAGGTCTGTTTTTTTCTGTTGGTTTTCCAACTTTGACGACTACTATATAAGGTACAACATGTCCTTCGTATTCGTAAAGACCAGAATAAACTTTTCCATAATTCAATTGTTGAGATGCTTCACCAATGGACTTAAATGCTAAGGGTTCTGGATCCATTTTAGGATCAACACCAAGAATATCTAAAACAATTCTTGGTGTTGGTCTATCGTTACCAGAACCAACAATCATACCATCAGCAATAAAGAAAAGTAATTTCCTTTTATCATCATATGTTAAAGCGGCTAATGAGTCCATCGTACGCTTAAGTGAATCCTCTCCTTCGGTGTAACAGGGTACCTGACAGATAACAAATTTATCATGATCTTCAGGCTTACGTCTTGCTCCCAACTGTAAAGCAGCCAAGAATTTTACGACGATAACCGAACACATTACGCAAGCAGCAACAAGCAAAACATAATTATTGAATTGACATCGGAAAGTTTTTCGGAAATCGTTTTTACCGATATAAAAGACCTTATCCAAACAATTCATTAATGAATTCAATCTAGTTTTATCAAGTGCATTTAAATAGTTTGTAATATCTTTTCCATTCATATTCTGGATTAACTTTTCGAGATCTTCTCCTTGTTTCTCTAACCAATGCCAATCGATAAATCCTACAGGTTGTGTGCTAGGATCAAGTTTTTGAGGTTGTTGTCGTTCTGTTTGTAGAGCAAAATAATCGGTGAAGTCATAAAGTTTATTTTTAACGGTAACTACAGTACGGCCCATTGAAACCAGACGCTGGAATTGTTTTTGATCCCAGACAAGATCGGCTTTCACCATCAATCGCATTGTGGTAAGAAAATTATCAAAATACCAATTCGTGTTTGTGAGTTTTGTGTTAGGAAGCGCTAGTGCACCTGAAGTGTGGACAAACATAGAGCCAGAAATCGGATCCGAAAGATTTTTATGTGCAATAGTGGTTTGATCATTAGTAACCATATCACCACATGTTTCTGGTGAGGCTAAGGGAATTGGAAATGATGGTGTAACATCCAAACCAGCATACATTTCCATGGCTGCCGGACCAGCAGCTTGGCTACTGCCCCCGGTGTGATCTCTCATATGAAATCTGCTGAGATCATATACAACACCCCTAACGCTGACCCAAAAATCATCATCACCTTTATGAAAAGCAACTTCATCTGCACTATATATTTTGTCAGTACCAGGGCAAATTAGATTACCAAAGAAAATAATGTAGAAGATGACGAAGGCTGAGAGCATGAATATTATAAAGCAAAGTGTGAATTTTTCACGCCAAGCCATTCGTATATCAGGACGTTTCATTTTTCCAATCCAGCTTAATAAGAATGAAGGAATCCACCAAGTAACTAACCATACGAATATAACCCAATATCTACGTGTTTTGGTAACAGGTATTTCTTCGATTTCTTCTTTGGTTTCATTCCCTACGTTTTTTTCTTCTTTGAATTTACAGATTATTTATTATTATATTATGCTATATAGTTAGACATACATGATTTTAATGCAAAACCGAATGTACAGGGTAGCATACTTTAATTCATACAAAAAGTGTATAGAAATTATGATAGAGTATGGATGTTACATGAACGTATGTATGTACATACGTACTGTAACTCGCACTGTGTCGTAGAGAAAAAAAAATTGTTAGTTTAATACTAATTTTTTGGAACCAAAAATAAATCAAGCTGCAAAAATAAAAAATAATCGGTAAATGGTAGCTTGATTTATCATATCTAATATAGGCTGAAAATTAAAAATGACTTTAAATAAATAAACCTTATCCGATTCGTTCAATTATTTGCACAACAGTGAAGATTTTGTCGAGCCTTAGGCACACTGGTTTACTTCCTGTTTGAATTATTATATCAGATAATAAATTACCTGATCGAAGGCAGTTCAGGCTTTATTCCATTTGTAACAGTCTAAAAATAGTAACGATAATAAATATATACATAGTTCATTATTAAATTCTTGTTTAGCCCTTTTTAATAATCATACTAGATTTTGTTAATTTCGTATGATTATTCTGCTGCTTAAATCTATTTATAGTAATGAATTTCAAAAATTGTCATTTATTTATTTATTTATCGTTTTTATTTATCGTTATTTATTTTAGACGATCAAAAAATAAATTTTGTCGATATTAAATAACCAAATATTAGTACGAATCGGTCATGTGGCGATTACGTTACAATCTAAAAAACATCGTAATTATACGATTTAAAAAAAAATTGAAAGATTCAAGATTTCAAGATTGCATGCATTTAATGCTCACCCGATATTTTCGTTATCGATTCATTCGTACGTACTCTCATGATGGGCTAAGACATATTGAAACAAGGGACCATTCTTCTAATGATATTCCATTAGTAATGATGCATTCATGCAATGTATTGTTTCTTTTATGTTATAGTACTAATTATACTTACGTACGTAGCTGTTCGGATAATTTATTTTAAATACATATTTAACTCTTCTTTCTCGGCTCCAGCCACACTTGTCACGTGAAGTTCCCATAACCCCGGATCATTCATATATTTTCTTGTACCCAAATATCATTAAAGTTAATCGAATCAGATTGTTTACTAAAATTAAATTCTTGGCTTGACTGATTAAATTGGTTTTGTCATTCCAAATGGTAAACATATAACGAATTCGTGAAACAAGTTGGGTGAATTGAATGCATTTTTTTGCTGAAATTTTACCTTACAGTTTTCACTAAATTATAAACAACGATGACAATAGGAGGAGGTTGTGTTCCTAATTATTTTCATACCGATACATACTACGTACGTACGTACGTACATGTATAACTCTTTTAATTGGGTTAAAAAAAAAATCTGATTATCTTGTAATTTTGTAATAGTGTAGATTTAATTATTCAAATATCATCCTTTTTACAGTAAGTCTATTAATAAAGTTTGCTATTTCGAGAGTTATTAGCAAATTTACCTGTCGAGAAAATTTATATTAATTGGCTTTGAGCTTACTATTTAAAAATTTTAATTAAAGCATTTTTTTCTGTAATTGGTTAGTATAAATTATCCTAAAAAACGGATCCTATTTTAAATCTGGTAAAATCTGACTTAATTATATTTAGTGTTGCGACGATTGAGTTACCCGAACTATCTGGGGCATCCCAATCTACGTGATGAATAATATCACATTAGGCATTTACTGCCTTATTGTTAATGTTAAAATCGTGTGATACTATTTATCACATAGTCTCACATAGTCTGGGACGTTCCAAGTAGCCTGGGCAACTTCGCTAGCTGCAATTCTGAGATCGGCTAATACGTACTAGAAATTGATATATTTTAATAAAAATAAATTTTTTAAAATTATTTGAAACGTAATTTTTTAATTTTTTTTTTTTTAAGAATTTAAAATTATTAAAACTATTAATACAATAAATAATATATACAATTTTAGCATGTTAAATAAAAACCAAAGTTTGGCATATGTAAAATCTGGATCATATTATGATACCTAATCTGATCACAATGTGACCATTTACCGTCTGCATACTCATGGAGTTAAAATTTTGATCGAATCTAATTAAGCAGTTGTTAAAATATCTTTTCTCAATCTTAAAAAAGTTCAAAATATAGTATTTATTAAAAGAATAATTATAGTAAAGATTTTTTTTAAACCTTGGCATTTATGCCAATGCTTTATTTGGTATTTGTTAGTTGATACTAGTGTTCAAAGTTCAAGTTTAGTTTAATTAAATCTGAACTGAACTTTAAATTTTGCAGATTTTTGAACTTGAACTGAACTTTAAATTTATAAATCTAAATCTTTAAATAGTGTAAAACATATTCAAGTTAGATATATTTCAGTAGGTATTTTACGCGATATAGAAATAATTTGCAATATATTAAAAAGTTATTCTAAAACTGATTTCTATTTAAAAAAAAAACATTTTTATTATCTAAAAATAACAATCAGTTTTAAAAAAACCTTTAAAATTTTCTTGCAAAAATTATTTTATAAATATGTAGTCTAGAAATCCGTGAGTGTTCCTGAGGCTTTAAAAGATAGTTGTGTGCCAAATAATAATAGCCAATAATTGATACAAATTTTATACTATAGAATTCAAAAAGAATTTTCTAATTAAAGATTTTTTACCAAAAAGAGAAATAACCTGCATTACATGAATTTGAAAATTTTTAACTATATTTTTATGAATATTTCTATTTGTTACTAGCAGTAATAATTATCAGATTACATTTGGCAAATGATATTA